TGTTTGTATATAGAACATATACCCACTTATCCATCCTAGTCTGACAATGTAATTATTTATAACTCTCATTAGTTAATATTTTCTGGTGGCCAAAATGATACCTGACACTTTGTAGGATTTTAATAACTATTTGTGTTTATACTTAATGGACTTTAGTCTGTGAAGTAGAAAGGGGAATTGTTTTCTGGTGAGATAAATTTAATGAAATTAATGAATGAGAAATAATAGCCAGCTTCGTCAGTCTATCATACAAAAATAATATTTCTATCTATTTATTGTACGTATTTATATTTTCAGCCAATTTTGAAGGAACAATTTAATTATTCTTATTTAGTTCTAACCTTTAGTGATTTAGTTCTAACCTTCCCCCAGCTGACTGGTGCCACTATCACATGAGGCTGGTTGGCAAGAGTTTATGGGGGTCGAGTACACCACTCTGTTATTGGCTTTTGACAACAGTGCAGTGTGTTTCTGTTTGAAGTGGAATTTGTGAATAGTTGCACGGCTCAACAGTATTTTTTAATTCTGTCTGCTTAACAGCCCATCATGTCAAAGAAGAACAAGAGAATGCTGAAGGAAGAAAATGTTTTAATGAGGATTGGGAATTGCAATATTATCTTGTTTCTGCTAAAGATAAGATGATTCGCTTGCTTTATGATAGTGCAATATCAACATTAAAGAAATTCAACGCTCATCAGCATTATAACACTCATAAAGACCACAGATATTTTAAATTACAGGAAGAGGCAAGGAAAGGTTGTATTGCAAAAATTAAAAGAAGAAAAGAAAAAGCAAAGACAATTCTTTCAAGCAGCAATAAGACCTGGAAATAGTGCCACTGAAGCAACTTATAAAGTAGCTTACATACTTGGGGAAAAAAGGGAAGCCATTCAGTGATGTAGAAATTGTGAGAGAATGCATTGTCGAAGTCGTAGACCCTGATAACGTATTGAAATACAAACAACTGCCTTTTTCAAGGAGAACCATAACTGATCAGAAGCATGAATTGACCTTCAACTTAACAGAACAACTTCATGCAATAGTTCAAAGGGAAAACATATATTGTTCAATTACTTTGGATAAATCAACTGATACTACTGACTCAGCACAGGTTTTATACTTTATTCAGGTCATAACAGAAGATTTTCTTTGCTAGAAAGAGTTACTCGCTTTGGGCACTCTTGCGAACAGAACACAGGGAATGGATAGCTTCAACAACTTTCAAGATGAATGTCATGAAGTTGGACAAAATTTGGTAAATTTAGTGAGTTGTATGTACAGACAGTGCACCTTCCATGGCAGGAAAACATAAAGGGTTTATTGCACAGATAAAAAGGTATTAACAGACGCAGATGCTCTTATTTCTTTTCACTCTATATTGCATCAGCAAAATCTCTCCGCTAAAGCTACTATTGTAAGTGACACTTTGCAGCAAGTTATAAGTATTGTTAACTATATGCATGCAAATACAACATGGCATCATCAGTTTCCTAACATGCTAAAGTTGAACAATGAGGTATTCAGTGTGGATTTGCTGTATCATTCTAAAATGTGTTGGCTATCCCAGGGACTGGTGTTAGCCAAAATTTTATCTCTGAGAGAGCAGATAGTTAAATTTTATGAAGAACAGAATCAGCAATGTGAATTATTAAAAGAAGATTTCTATAGGACCGCAGTATTTCTGTGTGATATCATGTTAAATCACATTGACTTGAATATTTCTTTGCAAGGTAAAACTAAGTCCATATATGATATATGGCAAAAATTCCAA